GCGAGGAGGACGATGGAGGCAGGAGGAAGCCGAGAGGTGGCTGTGTAGATGAGATTGACATAATCTAATCTACACAGCGGAACGACGGGAAGAGTCCTGCACGACTCTCACTACCTTGCCTATCACTGCCTGAGCTAGCACCAAGCCCCGGCCATCATTCTGGCCATCATTACTTAACCGTGGCGCCGCCGCGGAGAACTTTCGCGTGCCGCATTTGGACTTCCCAACCTCTCCGCAACCACCATGCATGCTGGACCGCTGGGCTCCTTTATATCCTCCCTTATATTACTGGGTTCGGGATCGCAAGAGGCTCCTGCAGCAGAGGCCCCTGGAGCAGTAACGACCGCCCCCTCGACTAATACCGCTCAACCTTCTACTGAAACTGTCATCACCGTTCCTATACAATCATATTCTTTCTCTGCGTCTCCTCTACCTTCCCAGGCTGCTGTCGCTGGTGGTGCGCGTCAGTCTTGGTCCAAATTTCTAAGCTGAGAGCTTTGTAGTCTCCCCCTTTACGGACCCTCGCGAACCTCCACCCGTTGGCTCGTCAGTCGTTCCGGACTTTGGCCAAGCATGGGCTGGTGCGTACCAGGAGGCGAAGAACAAGGTCAGTACTCGCCTCGCCTTTCGTGCATGGACTCGGTCCGAGTTTATTTATCAACGCATCAATATTCTTCTCGCGGCGTCTCGTTGACATTGTCACGTAGGTTGCAGGATTTACCATCGATGAAAAGGTCAGTGTGGGTACTGGTGTCGGCTGGATGGGTGGGCGCTGTGTTGTGAGTGTCTATATAGCTCTGCCGGTATTTTTTGGACCATTTTACAGGGTAACACCCCTCCGATCGGTGAAAACGGAACCAAATTCCCTGGCCTATGCCTCGAGGTTGGTGCAGCATGTCTATTCTTTATTCCGACGCTCATATTTCATCTTAGGACTCACCTTTAGGTCGGCCCCACTGTTAAGCACCATTCGGCCGCTAACCGACCCGTTAGGCATCCGTTTCGCGGACTTTGTCACCGCATTCCCCACTGGAGTCAACACCGCGGCGACCTTCAACCGCAAGCTCATTCGCCGGCGCGGCCTCTTCATGGGCCGCGAGCACGTCGGCAAGGGCGTCAACGTCGCGCTCGGCCCGATGATGAACATCGGTCGCGTCGCCCAGGGCGGCCGCAACTGGGAGGGCTTTGGCGCGGACCCGTTTCTTGCCGGGGAGGCCGCGTACGAGACCATCCTTGGCATGCAGGAGGGCGGTGTGCAGGCGTGCGCCAAGCATCTGATTAACAAGTATGTATATGATTACGGTCACAACTGCCCGCCGTTGACATGCATCCAGCGAGCAGGAGCATTTCCGTACCCAGGAGAGCTCGGATGTGGACGACCGGACGCAGCATGAGATTTACGCGCACCCGTTCCTGCGGAGTATCATGGCCGGCGTTGCAAGCATCATGTGCAGCTATAGTAGGTCCTAAGATTTTCACAACGGCGTCTACTGAACCGCGACAGACCTGATCAACGGAACTTATGCGTGCGAGAACGACAAAATCATGAACGACATTATCAAGGTAATTTTTGTTGTCACTTCCGGCCGTTGCTACAATTTGTTTTAGCGTGAATTTGGCTTCCAAGGATGTGAGTTTTCCAGGAAGATATGATTAAAGGTCATTCGCTCATCTAAATCACAGATGTCATGTCTGACTGGGGTGGTGCGTCTGCATTCGAAATTATTGTAAGCTACATAACTAACACTCAACAGCTACCCACTCCACGATCTCGGTCGCGACGGGGCTCGACGTAAACAACCTGGTTCTGTAGCTCAGAGTACGCGCCCTGATGCTCTCCTATAGATGACCATGCCCGGCGACATCACATTCGGGTCCGGAACCACGGTAGGCACTTTAATACCTCAGAGGTCTCGAGGGGATTTAACATTTCAGTTCGGTCACAGTATTTCGGCCCTACCCTCACCGCGTACGTGCAGAACAACACCATCGCGGAGGCGCGCCTCGATGATATGGGTGCGTTGTAGTCACATAAATGAATTGATTCCGCGGATCGCTGAATGATTCACGTAGCGACGCGCATCATCGCTGGGTGGTACTTTCTGCACCAGGACGCGGGAAACTACCCGACGACCAACTTTGACGCGTTCAACCCCGCGAACGAGGACACGAACGAGCACGTCGATGTTCAGGTGCGTTGTTGTTACATCCAACAGACTTGAGTTGATTCTAATGCCGCATTTGGTAGGAGGACCACTACAAGGTCGTGCGCGAGATCGGCGCGGCGAGCACGGTGCTGCTGAAGAACACGAACGGGGCGCTGCCGCTGAAGAAGCCGCGCAGCATTGTGCTCGTTGGGAGCGATGCCGGTCCTGGAAAGGTTGGCCCGAATGAGTTTGCGGACCAGGCGCGTGTTGCTTGACATTCGCGATTCGACGCGATTCTCATCCGGTTCATTTGCAGGGCGGTCTCGACGGGATCCTCGCGATGGGTTGGGGATCTGGGTGAGTCTGCCTCGAATTCTTTACCGTTGTGTGCTGAGACATGTATGTAGGACGGCCAACTTCACGTACCTTGTTTCCGTGCGCTATCGTCTTGCCATTTTCTGCTCGGAGTGTTCGCTAAATTATTTGCCTGCAGCCACTGGAGGCTATCCAAAGACGCGCGAGGGATGACCGTACCAGCGTGTCGTGGATTCTGGATGACTTCGACACCGACCGGGCAGGGAACATGGCTATTGGACGGTCCGCAGCGCTTGTGTTCATTTCGTCCGACTCCGGCGAAGACTACATCACCGTCGACGGCAATGAGGGCGACCGGAAAAATCTGACGGCATGGTTCGTGACCGCCTCGAAACTGAAATGGTGTAACCTCTGACCCCCCACCACAGGCACAGCGGAGACGATCTCGTACTTGCTATCGCCGCGCAGAACAACAACACGATCGTCGTGGTACACTCTGTCGGGCCCCTCATCGTCGAGCCGTGGATTGACCATCCGAACGTATCCGCGGTAAGTAGAGCATTGTTGGGCACCTCGTGCAATACTTATGAGCGAGCAGGTTTTGTGGGCGGGTGTGCCTGGGCAAGAGGCGGGCAACTCGATCATGGACGTGCTTTACGGCGCCTGGAACCCGTCTGGCCGTCTCCCGTACACCATCGCGAAGCAGCCGTCTGACTACTCCGCCCAACTTGTCCTCGGCGGGCAGCCCACGGACATCCTGAGCATCCCGTACACGGAGGGGTGCGTTCTTTCGACTTTAGTTGCTTGCTGCGAGCTGACATCGTGGCCAGCCTGAACGTCGACTACCGTCATTTCGATAGCTTCAATATCACACCGCGGTTCGAGTTTGGCTTCGGGTTGAGCTACACGAATTTCACATATAGCAAGCTGCACATTGCCAAGGTAGGACACCAGGCATCAACGGACGCGGCGCTCGAGAAGTCGTGGGCCGCTGGGAATGCGACCCCGATAGGAGAGGGTTCGTCGACGGCGCTCTGGTATGATCATCTGCCTTCCTTCTTCCGTTCGGCGCCGGTTGATCCTGAGAACAGGCTACATCGCCCGCTATACAACGTGACATTCGAGGTCAAGAACACCGGGCCTGTTTGGGGCGGGGATGTGCGTAGTTTCAGTTGTTTTTTGGACTACCGCTGACTCGCAGCCCACAGGTCCCCCAGCTCTATCTGCACATGCCCGCCTCGGCTGGTGAACCGCCTTCCCTCCTGAAGGGCTTCACGAACGTCGAGGTGCTTCCGCAGGAGCAGAAGAAGGTTTCGATCACTCTCTCCCGGTACGACTTGAGCTTCTGGGACACCGTCGCGCAGGGCTGGCGGAGGCCGAATGGGACGATTGGGGTGTCAATTGGGACGAGCTCAAGGGATGTACGGTTGTCGGGCAATATCACGATCACATAACACGGACAACACACGAGGACAGTTTGAACGAGTGCTGGACTAATATACATAGACAGACATTTAAACCCTAGCACTCGACGGACTTGTATTTAGGCACAATATAATGTAGAGTGTGCTGAGATCAAGGCGAACATCGTCAGAGTCTTCGTTTTTGGCAGCGCTCTACCACTGAGCTAAAGAGGCCCCTGAAGTGTTCTGGGGTTGGTAGGTCCAATTCGGAGTGGAACAGGTCCAAGAAAGGTTGAGGATAAAGAGCTGGATAAAGGGCGGACGTGAGACTTCGTAAGAAGGACTCGGAAAGTTAGTCATTTTTTGCAGCGCTCTACCACTGAGCTAAAGAGGCCCCTGAAGTGTTCTGGGGTTGGTAGGTCCAATTCGGAGTGGAACAGGTCCAAGAAAGGTCGAGGATAAAGAGCTGGATAAAGGGCGGACGAGATATGATGAGATATGATGAGACTTGGAAAGTCAGTCATTTTTTTGCAGCGCTCTACCACTGAGCTAAAGAGGCTATGAAGTGTTCTGGGGTTGGTGGGTCCAATTCGGAGTAGAACAGGTCCAAGAAAGTTCAAGAAGGGAGCGATACTTGAAAACTTGCAACGCCAATTTAAAAGGTGTGTGGCTGGTTCGTGGGCTTGGATATGGCACTTCAGACGGTTCCAACGGCAAGACATGGAGGAAAATGTTCTCCATGGCCGCGTGGTAGTGGGTCAGTGAACCAGAAACGAAGAAATGCCACGGTCCGCTGCGCCAGTCTGATCCGCCGATGCCCTTACCTGCCTTCAACGTTCGACTTTTCGCTATCGGCAACTTGCTGGCGTCTTTGAAATGTTAATGGGATCTCCTTTTTCTCCTCAACATCCCGGAGGAACGATTCAAAACTTCAACTCGACGGCGGCCTTCGACAATTGACTCTACCTAGGCAGACGATGGCACTCGGGTTTCGAAGCACACCGAAGCTTTCGATGGCTCTCGCACATACACAAAGCCTACTGTATTGTTTCAGTTTTGGACGCAATGTGCTATCCTAGCAGGGCGTGTAAGATAGAAAAAACAAAACATCAACAAAAGACTGGCGAACAGCTGATTCCCGCTAGCCGATTTGAACGACTGACCTCGTCATTGCATGAAAACGTACTAGTGACGCGCTCTACCAACCGAGCTAAGAGGGAGACTCTACTCTGTAAAGCTTCAATACTCTAAAATGTGTGGTTGGCGGTTGAAATGGTGGCCCAACGGTCCGCTCCATCGGTCTGATCCAACTGCTGATGCCATCACCGGCCTTCAAGTTGTTGACTTTCCCAGTAATAAACCCGGAGGTCACCCGGTGCCCGGCAGGCAGCGGCCCGCGGCGGCCGCCGGCGGCAAATAGATCTCAACATTGATCCTTGATGACTGCCATAGAACAGCCGTTCAAAGTCAGCGCCAGTCGCTGACTCGTGTTGACTTTCCAAAAAGTACCAAGTCGCCGACTGTCAGCGACGTTGAAAAATCTCAATGCCGCCGACTGTCAACGACCTTTGAGAAATCCCAAAGCCGCCGACTGTCAACGACTTTTGAAAGAATCCAAATGCCGCCGACTGGCGACGACTCTCAGTCTTCTTCAAAAGTCGTTGACAGTCAACGAACGTCACTGTCTTTTCATTCTATTCTATGACTTGAAGTGTTGTTTTGAAAACTTCACGGTACAACTTTTAGTTATTGCCGTCAACATCCATATTCCCCACACCATTTACCTCATCCCAGAAGTCCTCTGTCAGCTCCTTCTTTTTCTCCAACACTCCTTTTTCGATATTCTCGCTGTAAATCATCATCAATACATGGATGAAAAAGTCGTAGTTGACTTCAGTCATCTGCCGGAGTTGAGACTCAAAACCATTGAGCCATGAGTTCAACTGTTCTGCAGTTTCGGTGTTGAACGCGCGTGTTTGATGAGTGACACCATGATCGTCTTGCACCGTAAGCACCAAGTCCGGTTGGGAGCCATCGGCCGGGGCGGGATTACATCTCGTCCTGCAGAGAATGTCGGTGGCTCGATGGCCAATATAGTGCCAGGCATCAACAACAAATTTTGTCGTCTGAAGCCACAAGTCGTTTGGGTTTTGTGTCACGATATGCCGGAGAAGATCACAGGCTTTGTCGTACACCATGAAGCTAGGCCTGGACCTGGGATTGTCTTTCCAGATTTCGTTCAGGATGGCTAGGACCTGGGGCGTGCTTTCCGAACGATAACATTTCCCCCACCCAATGGGCATCCCACACGCCCATTGCACTGTTTGAAGGCAGTAGATAGACTTGGCTTTGAACGTATGCACCACTTGTTCACCAGGAGTGTCACCCAGAGCCTGCAGCTGCACTTGCAAAGATGGGCCGCCCATCCCAGGAACTCCTTCTTCTCCATTTTGGCGGCGAATGACCCTTTGGACACCGGGAAACGAAAGTCTGTGGAAACGATCTTCGTACCGCTTATGCCAGTCGATATGGGCCTGATTATTGCATGTAAGTGCACCCGATGAATGGACGGGGCGGCCGCATGGAATAATTCCACAGATATCCCGCATGTGGAGGTGGGTCTCGCAGAACCGACCATTCTTGTAATTCACGAGAGGTCCTCGACAATCGTCCAGAGCACATTTCTATTAACAAGATAAGTTTCAATGATCATCATATTCCTCGTAAACGCACACGATATTTCAAGGACTTTCCATCCATGACAGCGAGTCTTACGTGGCCTTTTGGAGATCCATCGACTGGGGCCTCCTGTTGTGCCAGTGCTGGAGGTAAGTTTGCGGGTAGAGGTTGTTGCTCAAGTGCCGCTGGATCAACCTGAAATATCGGGTAAACATGGATATCTCTGAGCGGCAAAAAAGGGAATAATAACCCCGTCTGCTGGGCCCGCCTCTGAGCCAACAATTTCAGCATCTCCAGCGAGGACTGGACCCTCCCGCACAAGATCGGACTTGTACCGTTTCACATGTGTGCAGTCCATGCAGCCATGGGACATTGCAGCGGGAATTACTCCGCCGTTCTCGCCGATAGCTTTCCGTACAGCAACTGCCAGGGAGTCGGCGGTCGCATGAGCTTCGCAAGTAAAGTCGGAATCTTCCTCATGAGCAACAAGAAGACGTCTCGCGAAGTGCTCCAAGAAGAGGCGTTTAGATTGCCTATAGGTGATTTTTATGTTTATGTCGTTTGTCGAATCATTGACCCAGTCTGCAAAATTTGACCAGCCCGAATGAAATCGATGCAAGGCCTTCTCCTGAGCGACAGCGATTTTTCTGTGAACCCAAATTCCGCTTTTTGACACTCGAAGATATTCTGCGTCATATTCAAGCACCTGGGAACGATGGAAGCTCCCAGGCGCCTCTTTGACGGTGATGATATCGGGATAATAGTCTGCCTTGCATTTTCCGCAATGCGCAACAACTAGATCTGCAGACACCCATTGGAAGGTCGCGTCTAAGAGCCAGACTTTTTGGGCACCATCATTTTTCCTGCGGCTTTTCCTCCGGCGAAGTGAAGGCACCAGATTGCGATCCCCCGGAGGACAGAATTTGCAATCCAGTCTCCTTGTAGTGAGAATGGGGCGTGGACGGCGAAAGAGAAATGATGAGAGGTCATCTGGGCTTGCATTGAAGAGGCCCAACTGCGTGTATAGTGTGTCGATATCGGTGCAGATGTATTCTGTGTACTCCTGTGCCAAGCTGATACCCGTTGTCCACGCCTCGACATTGTCTGCCTCGTCCCCAAACGACCTGGTCAGAAGAGTTTTGATTGTTCTCTTCCAGCCAGTGAGAGGGGATTGACGACGAGCTTCATTGAGCTGATTGGAATGAAGTCGGAACAGCGGGTACAGTGATATTAGAACACCCAGGACATAGATGGCCTGCTGGACTGCCAATTCCGGAGGGAAAAAGAGCTGAAGAATCAAGATGAGCTGCCGCACAGACGCCGGCATGAGGAACGAGGTTGAGAATTTTAAAGGCAATGAATTCTAATATTAACAAAGCATAATACAAGGTATCGCGGAATGGACCGCCAAAATGTCGTGTATTGCACCTGGGATTGCAGGCTGAGGGACATCTCAGGGAAGTGCTAGGCGTGAAGTCAAGCAGGAACTAGAGAACTGGGTTAGATAAAGTCGGTGTTGTGAAATGTCAGTAAAATCACATACCCCGGGATCGGCGGCACGATGCCGGCGTGTATGGTGTTCAGCTGACACAGGGCCTTGATGCTGTGTTAGAGGATGTCCTAGAGAAGGGTCAGGTCAAAGAAACTGAATGATTCAAGCAAGAAATGGGTGAGTTAAAGCACCGTTGGTAAAATCACAGTGAAATCACACACACATCCGTGCCGGCGCGTTTCGCGATTCGTCGGGTTTATATCATTGATATTGTGTTGTGGGGCATCCTATATATGCCTTATATCGAAGGGAGCTAAAGGTTGGAGGTAGAATTGCATGAGATAAAGCGAGATTGCTAAAATGACAAGGAAATCACATACCCGGGCATAGGGCGCCACGACGGCGACGCATTTCGTGTTCGTTCGGTCCAAATCGTTGATACTTTGTTGGAGGACATCCTGAGGTAGCCGTTCGTCGAAAGGACTGAAGGATTTGGGTTAGAATTGGATGAGATAGAGTAAAGTGGGAAAATGACAGAAAAATGACATACCCGGGCATAGGGCGCCACGCCACCGACGCATTTCGTGTTCGTTCGGTCCAAATCGTTGATATTAGGTTGGAGGACATCCTGAGGTAGCCGTACGTCGAAAGGACTGAAGGATTTGAGCTAGAATTGCATGAGATAAAGTGAGATTGCTAAAATGACAAGGAAATCACATACCCGGGCATAGGGCGCCACGCCACCGACGCATTTCGTGTTCGTTCGGTCCAAATCGTTGATATTAGGTTGGAGGACATCCTGAGGTAGCCGTACGTCGAAAGGACTGAAGGATTTGGGCTAGAATTGGATGACATTGAGTAAAAGTGGGAAAATGACAGGAAAATGACATACCTGGACATGGTGCCCACGACGTCGATGCATTTCGCGTTTGTCGGGTTCAGGGCATTTATATTATGTTGGAGGACATCCTGAGGCAGCCGTATGTCGAAAGGACTGAAGGATTCGAGCCACAACTGAGGGAGATAGAAAGTCGAATTTGTGAAACATCCAAAACTCACACCCCCATGAGTGCGCGCCGCGACGCCAATGCCTTGTACGTTTTTTGGGCCCAAACTATCAAGGAGATTCTTGAGTGCATCCGATAGATGCGGTATCTCGAAGGTGTGGAAGGGTTTGAAGCAGAACTGACCCGATCAGAGTGAGGTTTGTAAAATGCAAAGAAAACAAAGTGCCGATCTCATGAGGTGTCCAGGCCTCCTGCCGCACTCCTTTCAACGTTCAAGTGGACTCTGGGGGAAGGTTTAGGAATGGTCAGACTTCGCGCAATGCCAATTGAGCTGCCACAGGTCTTTGCAAGCAAGGTGAATTTCCCCCGGACGTAATCCCGGCTCGCAGTTCAAACTTCCAGTGCTTTTCAAAGAAAAGTCAAAGTGCTGACAATTAGATGCAAGAGGGAGAGGTCGGAGGTCATTCGTCGTTGGCTGGTTGTGGGTCCCAGAGGCAAACACTGATGATTTCCTTTTTGGGACATCAACTCGCTTTCTCTTCCCGCAACACCACATCGACGCGTCTTGTTGACCCTGGGCGGGAAAGTAACAAGGCGCGTTGAGTGTGACTCAACGCGAAAGCCGGACGTCCGTCAGATCTAGGCCCCCAAGCTCTTGCGCCCTGTGGATTCTGTGTCTGCCAGACAACATGGATGGTTCACGTCGTCGTCGCGACACGTCCTGATTTTGGCCAGGTCTGTGCAATTTTTCTCCTCTATGCAGCTCTCAACAGTGTCTGGAAGGCGTACCGTATTCATCCCGACAATGTTCCCTTCGTCGGACGACACAAGCTGGTCGCATTCACAGGGACAGCACCCGGTGCGTACGCCTGTCGTCTTATTGCTGGCAAGCATACTAATGACTGCTTGCAGGCCAACGAATTACTGAGTGTAATGTCGACCCGTGTCTTGATTGTATCTTCACACACTTTGGAGTTGAATCCACATTTATTGGGTTAGAGCAAAGTAACGCTGAGTTAAGTCTACGATACCAGTGAGATTC